AAACATCATAAAATACGCCAAAAAAAATAGTATCAGGTAAACTTTTTTTTTTAATTTGCAGGTACATGGTTATCTTTTATTTAACTAATGTACTACTCACACATACAATTTATTTATTTCTTACCTGAGTGTTATTAGGGCCAAATTCTGGGAAGGCCTCTAATGCAGGGACATTATTCCACTTCCCACAAGGATTATAAAAAGATGTACTTCCAGTATTTGACATGAAGACGTAAAAAGAAACGTTCCCAGCACAAATGGGCATCTATGTATTCAGCTTTAATGAAAAGGCTGAAATTTGCCCTGCCTTGCTTCAATTCACATCTTCAAACATCCTCCCCAGGACATATTACGTGCAGGTATCTTTTTGAAAAGAATATATCTAGAAAACAGTAAGTACTTTAGCTTACGAACGCTCGCACATGCAAGCTGCGTTATGTTTTCAGTGGGACTGAACTACTCACTGAAATAAAAATTTACGGGATCACTGTTTTTAAGATGACATTTAGGCGACACCAGTCCATCAGTTAGTAAAGAATTCACTCTATAATAACGCATTTTCTCCTTATAGAACAGAATGAAAGCATCAGATCAGAAACAATCCTAAATCTAGTAGTCTTAACAGGTTACTTGGGAAAAAAACAAAAAAAAAAAAACCAAACAAAACTAAAACCCAACACACATCTACATTATATACTGTTGGAATATACTATACATTGCTGAACACCACCACCCCCCCCATTTGTTTTTTTTTTTCCCGAGCTCTATTAATTGAAAACAATGATTTGTTTTCTCTTTTGTAAAATGTAAAAAGCATAGAGTTTGTCTTTAAAATATAGTTGTCAAATATCAAGGGGTATATATATGCTAACATTTACCCTAGGGGTATTTCAGGGCGAGAGTCTGTTACAAACAAAATCTTTATTCATATGAACAGCTACCTGGGGGGCAATACTGAATGTTACACATAATATTTATATATATATATTTAAAATAATCTAGCACTGCCATTAAAACAAACTGGAAGCTACACTGCATTTAGTCTCTCCGTTTTGCAGATCTAAGTCTTATACTACTAACTTTTTTTGTTTTGAATTACTTTCTGTAGAGGATAGTCCCTAAAATATAAAATGCTTTTGTCTAGTGTGTCATATCAACTGTTTTATTATTTGAACTGTAAAAGATCATTCATGGTAATAAAGAATAGAATTACAGAACAAAGAAAAGTAATGGGTTTTTTAATTACTAAATTCTGCAACAGTATTTTCAAATTTGAGAACTTTCCTTGAATTAAAAAGAAAAAAAAAAAGACTAAAAAAATTCTTTTTTGTTACATGCTTTCTAAAAATTACTGAATGGTCACTATGTGCTATGGAAAACGACTTTAGACAAGATCAGACATCTACATTTATCAGAGAATTTAAGCTGTCTGAAGCAAGTTGGGAGACAAAGCAGACAACGCAGCAGCTCTGCAGACTGCCAGCAGCCTGAGGAGGTCACATCTATCTGCTGGACCTTCCTAATTTACGGAATGAAGATGATAACATTCTATCAACTGCTAACAAAACTCTGGAATTGTTGAAAAACTTGTCTAGAGAAAGCAGACAGTAATTCTGCCCTTTTTGAGTACGTTTCAAAGGCCGTGAGTTGGAAATTGCCACCACAAGGATGAAACTCCTTGTACTAATGCAACGTCCAAACAGACACCTTCTTTCCAATTAAGGAAAAATCATGTGAGTGTCTCTATAGCAATTAAGAAAGCTCTTAAAAATGCTCAGCTCTGTGGCTGCTGTACATCAATATATTAGACCATTTCAAATTTACTAGCCAAGTAAGCCACCTTCAAAAACCTCCTTCCAAGTTGGAGGGACCTGCTGTGTGCCTGATCTTCCCCATTCATCAGGGCTTCTGTCCTCCTTTAAGAAGATGAATGAAGACGTGAGCTGGTTTAACAACACCCTGCACAATGAAGCCACGAAAACAGAAAAGCAACGTTTTTCTAAAGAAACACAGAACAGCCTTTGCATCGGGGAAACAACAGAAATCTATGCAGTGCTGCAGATAAAATACTAAGTGTCCGACACCTTCCGTAATAGCTACATGTGTTCCCCTTGAAGGGTGAGGGCACCTTCTTCTCCCTGTGACAATTCTGGGTAAATCTCATTTTTGCATGGGAACATCATTTTATTGAACACCAAGACACTGACCGCATGGTTGACAACAGTAACATTAGATGCACTGCCCGTTATCAATTCGGCTTTAAGCCCTGCTCACGGGAGTACATGTCTGTTCTCCATTAGAAGTATTTGCAAGTTCATCACATAAACTCTCTGGTCACTGCAGAATATCTGAATTTAACAGCTATGATTCTGCACTATTTAGTCTGCTTCAAAAGCACTTTTTAAGACTGTTCCTTAACTCTCTGAACTTCACTTGAAAACTAACAAACCTGCTTCCTTCCCATAATCAACTTGTATGTATAAAAGCACAGATCTTTTAAAACGTATGTATACTACTGCTGCAAAGATGTATAGCAATATCAGACTTACTAGCATCAGTATTCTCTCTCATACATACCAGCACCTTGAAGTAAAATACAGTTTGAAAATAAAAATTTAGTAATGCAGCTCCGTTACCAAGTGTTTGCACTCGAAATATTTGTGACCCTTCTGTATTATTAAATGCACAAATAGAAACAAGGTATTTATGAAATGTCACATTTACGAAAATCACTTATAAAAGAAAATTTTTATTCTATAAATAATGTCAATATTATAAATAATGCAAACGTGGTATTTCCCATGCCCTCACAAGAAGGTTGAAATATTTAAGTGTGTAATGCAACACACACACACTCTTGCCAGTTACCAATGAGAATTTTGTCTTAAACTACTACCTGGGAAGCAGATCTTAAATGGTTACTAGCAAGCTAAAAATAAAAGAATCAATGTTAATTTTAATCAATGATTTTTCTAATAGGAGAGAGTAGTTAGCCTCATTAGGTTGTAGTCTTATGCACTTATACTTTCAATTTAAGAAAACACTTGAAACATTCAATTACAAAACAAACATTAAAAATGTGCAAGTAAAGTAGAAGGTACCTCTAATCAGTTTTCCTCTCACCAGTCACATCAGCCCTCGTTCCTAAAATTTTATCCTGCCTGCGAGGATAAGGTACATACTCTTTTTTAAACATCGCATCTTTGTGAACTTTGACTATTTGATTCTGTCTGATCAAACCCTAACAGCAACACCAAAGGAAAAGCTCTCCTCTTTTTAAGATGCTCTATTGGTTAGACCAGATTTATTTGCTGTCAGTAAAGGTTATATTTGCACTTAAGTCTATGACAGATTGCAAGTTTATTAACTTCAAGTGAGTTTTCAAGCTGCTGGGTTGAGTTTTTTTTTTCTTGGGTTGTTGGGTTTTTTTTGTGGGGTTTTCGGTTTTTTTTGTCATCATTCCCTCCCCCTTCCCCCAAGATGTGGGTTATTTGACAAATTGGAGTTAAGTTATCTTAGGTCAATGTAACTGTAAGTTAAACTAATGAAATGTATGTCTATGAGTGATGTCTGATTAGTTTAATACAGTTAGTGCTGGACAGCTTGGGCTGCTGACCTTGAAGGAACACAGATAACATTGCGATGCGTTGGAGGATGTGGTTGTAATACAAGACAAATTTACATAACAGTTTGTCATATACACTCCTCCAAAACAAAATTGTTGCAAAAGGAAAGCAATAGGAAACCAACGCTAAATGCCTCGCACAAGACAAACCGGGGAAAATTAATTATAACATTTGGCTTGCAATGGGATCTTATTTTAAATGCAAGCCAGAAGCAGGCGCAGAAAAGGTGTACATTTATCAGTATGCATTCCAAAATGGATTAGACATTGTGTTGGGTAACACTGTTCAAATGCAGCCTTCTATAGCACAAGATCTACTCTTGAAAAAGAATATTGCTTCCCCAGCCAACTATGTCTACTTGCTCCTGGTAACAAATACCAGACCCAGTTCTGAACTGTAACTAGTTAGCGCATCATTTAGGGGTGCTCAGAGT